TACATTGCCTGTTTTTGGGTAGTGTGGTATACTGCCTGTATTTGGGAGGTGTGGTACATTGCCTGTATTTGGACGGTGTGGTATATTGCTTGTATGTGGGTGGTATGGTACATTGCCTGTATTTGGGAGGTGCGGTACATTGCCTGTATTTGGGTAGTGTGGTATATTGCCTGTATTTTGGCAGTGTGGTATTTTGCAAGCTGGTTCTACATATTCTTGACATTCTGAGTAATGTAAAATTTCTGAGTAACGTATCAGAGCTTGCCCTTTTAAATAATAAGGAGTGCCACCTCTATTTGGCCCACAGTACCTACATTGTGTGCTTGGCGACATCATGAAGCGTGTATGGGCTACTAAATATCCAGGAGTGTCTACTACTCTTGAACCAGAGTACAGGAAGCTCATGAAATGGGCGAGTTGTTATGCAGGTGTTTGTGAACCATCAGGCACTAAATATAAGTGTTAACTGCACTTCCCATACATTGCTGGCTTATCTGCTAGCATTAGGCATTGTAAACGTGTCTGAGCTACAATATGTATTGTGGGGCGAGGTCTATTTCTGTTGCATATATGGTGAAGCTTTGTGTTTGCAGCCTACCATCTTATTTCAGTGTTAAGCTTCAGGAAGGGAGTTAAGATCCCTGATCGTCCTGTTGGGGTACTTGCAATTTACCCACGGCTTATTTTTTACAGGGTTATTTATTAAACTCAGAATTGTACTGAATTAAAATTCAAATCCCATTCCAACCACTTCCTCTTGGTGAACATTGTGAACCACCTAGCAACTCACCCAGTTAACACCCACACTACCCAGTTACTATTTACATGACCAACACGGACCTGCATTCACCCACCAACCTAGTGACACCCATTCTAACGTATACACACCCACAGGAGACACCAAGGAATCACGGGTTCTTAGCTCAGTCTTTGCAGTGCTGCTGAGAAGTGTTCCAAGGAATTTACTTTGCATAACCTGTTAAATACTACAATTAATAATGTTCATACAGTTAGAAAACAACCCCACTACCACTACCACCAAGAAACAAGTGAAGAGCACTGATATGGAACCACGTTCGATAGCATCTGTAATGTAATGAACTACGGCTAAAAACCTCAAAATATGCAATGCATGAATGTTTAAAGGGAAGACAAATAACCTTATTTTAATCTAATTATTATATTTCAAAAAACTATTTCAAATTAGACAGAAGAGTGAAAAATGAAAACAGTTTTAATATTAAGGTTTCTTAGGGTAGAAATCCCCATCCACTGCTTTCCTTAAACTGCTAATATTAACTGTGGTTCTACCTCATTACAAGAGCCGACATTTGTAATGTAATTTCACAGTAACCGGAATGATAGCGTTTCACAGCATGCCTTTGAACTAGGTAGAATTTATATGCTTTTCTTGTTACAACAAGAATCCCTTTTGGGTGAAAACTATTGATTTGAAGGTTAAATACATTCATCTCACTGGGTCCATGTGTAATTTGATGGAAGTTAGCCTTGGGAATCTTTCTGACATTTTATATATGCGCTCCTCGCTTCATTTTTATTTATTTTTTATCAAGAAATAAAGTATGAACTCTTGGGATTTTTTTTAACTGTGTGATCATTATTAATTATAGGATTTCTTAATAGGTTATGCCATGTCAATTCCTTGTGGCACGTTTAAGTGACGTTTAAATTAGCAATCTGTACTCAATTGAATGAAACAGATTTGCAGTATAGCAGTCGGGGTTAGAATCAGTGATCTGTGCTTTTCACCGCTGGCTGGGAGCGAGCAAATTTTAAGAAAGCTGGAAGGCTAAACATTAACCTCTAAGAAAATGCACACATTAAACTCAATGGGTAGTCCTAAGAGTGAATTTTAAATATAAATGCATGATTGGAATCCTGCATGAATATTTGCATATTCCCTTTCCAAATCATGCAAAAACTTGGATTCTTACAACTGTCATAAAATATATAAAATACATAAATGAAGCATATAAATTTACATTTTTCCTAGATTATAACTAGCAAAAATTCTAAACCACAAATTTAAAGTACAAATACAATGAAATATACGTGTGCTTTGAAAGTGACATTCTAAGCACCATAACAACCTATGCTCATTGTGTCACTGTTACTATATTGTAAGACAGTTTGACATAACGAGGCACTGTCTTTGTCTACAGCACAGCAACTCTGATGTCACTCAAATAATACGGAAGTAAATTTCCATATTAACCGTCCAACCATGGACTAACCCACACCCACTGCTTCCATCTATCATTGTTGGATGGCTTTGGACAGATAATCTGAAAGTCGATTTACAGACTAGCTGAGTTGCAGCATAGGGACCAGAATTCGGGTGACAGGAGAGGCTCATTTGTAGCCACACTTCTCGAAAATAGTTTAAATTAGATGAGATGATTCAATTATGGTGCCTAGAGTACTGCATAATGTGTTTTCTCATCTTTTCAACTTGTTTTTAAGACTTCATTTATGGATCCTCTCTATTTCAAATTGTAGTCTGTCAGAGCTGGATGTACATGGAAACAAATTCGTATTTACTGTTTACATCTAACTGCAACCAAACTATCCAACAATGTGGCAACGATATTGATTCACGACATCAACTTAGAAAAATTCACTGATCCAAAGATTCACTGAAGGAGCTATTCTAAATCCAAAGAATAACTGACCTTTCAGGATAAATAATGTAAAAGTGTCAAGTGGAGACCCCAGGAGCCAGTCTGACTTCCTATCTGGAACAACTTGGTAAATGTGTAAGCAGTTACTCAATCAGCAGTGATAGGCTGAGACGATCAGCTGACACTCTCAAACTATCACTTATAATGACACAAAAGCATATTGGCCACTGGGGAAATTCCCTTCAGTGATATACCATTTCAAAACAGAAAACAACGCCACTGAAGAAAACATTGAAAATCATGTGATGTTCCATTTTCTTTTAAATGCATATTACATTTTTTTTTTTTTCATTATTATTACTACTATGTTATTATTTATACAGCGCCAACAAATTCCGCAGCGCTTTACAGTGGGTGTACGAACAAACACGTAGTTGTAACCAGACAAGTTGGACACACAGGAACACCACAATTTAGTCAATTCACAGCGTAGCTATAACACATTTCATTGGAGGATGTTATATAGACTGAAAAGAGACTCAAGTCCTTCAATTTTAGCCCTTGAATTATCTGTATTAGCGCTGTTGATCCAAAAGAAGGCAAAAATTCCCATTATGGTAAAACAATTTATTATTTTATTTTATTTAAATTTCTCCTAGGATCAACAAGCTGTTACTCCACATATTAACTATTATTCCCTTGAATATTTAAAAAAAAAAAACCATCCAGACCTTTAGTCAGACAATTCCATATCTTTATTGTTCTTACCAGGGCCGCCATTGGAAATTTTGGGGCCCCTGACAAAGCACAAGGTCTGGGCCCTCTCCCCCCCTCCCTCCCTCCCGAGCCCGCCCACGACCTACCTGATCCGCTGACAATGATGCAGGACTGAATGTGGTGTGTATAGTGGAAGTGAATTAGAATATGTGTAATGGATGTAGTGTTTGTGTATATTAGATACTGTTTGTACAGTGAATGCAGAGTGTGTGTTTGTGTAGCGGATGCAGTGTGTATAGTGAACGCAGAGTGTGTTTGAGTAGTGGATATAGTGTGTGTACAGTGATGTAGTGTGTGTTTGTGTAGTGGATGTAGTGTTTGTATGTACTAGATGAAATGTGTTTAGTGGATGCAGTGTCTGTAGTGGATGTAGTGTGTGTATTAGACGCAGTGTCTGTGTATAGTGAATGCAGAGTGTTTCAATGTGTGGTGGATGTAGTGTGTGTACTCTGAATACAGGATGTTTGTGTAGTGGATGCTGTGTGTACAGTTAATGCAGAGTGTATGTTAGTGCTGTGAATGCAGAGTGTGTGTCAGTATAGTGAATCCAGAGTGTGTGCATAGTTTAGTGAATGTGTGTGTGTTAGTGTGTAGTGAATGCAGAGTGTGTCAGTGTAATGAATGTAGTGTGTGTTAGTGCAGTGAATGCAGTGTGTGTGTAAATTTGTAGTGAATGCAGAGTGTGTGTTAATGTGTAGTGAATGCAGAGAGTGTGTTAGTGTGTAGCGGATGCAGAGTATGTGTTAGTGTAGTGAATGCAGAGTGTGTGTTAGTGTAGTGAATGCAGAGAGTGTGTTAGTGTGTAGCGGATGCAGAGTGTGTGTTAGTGTAGTGAATGCAGAGAGTGTGTTAATGTGTAGTGAATGCAGAGAGTGTGTTAGTGTGTAGCGGATGCAGAGTGTGTGTTAGTGTAGTGAATGCAGAGAGTGTGTTAGTGTGTAGCGGATGCAGAGTGTGTGTTAGTGTAGTGAATGCAGAGTGTGTTAATGTGTAGCGAATGCAGAGTGTGTGTCAGTATAGTGGATGCAGTGAGTGTGTTAGTGTGTAGATGCAGAGTGTGTGTTAGTGTGTAGCGGATGCAGTGTGTGTGTTGTGTTAGTGTATGCAGCATGTGTGTGTGTGTGTGTTGTGTAAGTGTATGCAGTGCGTGTGTGTTGTGTTAGTGTATGCAGTGTGTGTTGTGTTAGTGTATGTAGTGTGTGTTGTGTTAGTGTATGCAGTGTGTGTGTTGTTTTAGTGTATGCAGTGTGTGTGTGTTGTGTTAGTGTATAAAGTGTGTGTGTGTTTTGTTAGTGTATGCAGTGTGTGTGTTGTTTTAGTGTATGCAGTGTGTGTGTGTTGTGTTAGTGTATTCAGTGTGTGTGTATTGTGTTAGTGTATGCAGAGTGTGTGTGTGTTGTGTTAGTGTATGCAGTGTGTGTGTGTAAATGTGCAATCTGGGGGGGGGAGGAGGGAGGGGCATTTTAACAGATTTTTTTATTAAATGAAATGTTTCTCCCCCCCTCCCTGCTTACCTGTGTCCAGGGAGGGGGGAGATTCCATCTGTGGTGGTCTGGTGGGGGGCCCCCTGGCTCCCTGTTACCGCAGATGGGGCCCAGGCAGCACACAGCTTCTCCTCTTCTCCTCCTCTCTTCTAATAACTCTTGCGAGACCTGCGGAGCGTTGCCATGGTAACTGGGTCTCGTGAGCGTTATTAGAAGAAAGAAGAGGAGAGGAGAAGCTGTGTGCTGCCTGGACCCCCTCTGCGGTAACAGGGAGCCCGCGGCTGCACACATAGATAGCGATATTCGCTATGTGTGCAGAGAAAGAAAGTGGGGCCCAGGACTGCCAGAGCAGTCTGGGCCCCCCAGAGCCGCCGGGCTGTGACAACAGTCACGGTTGTCACCCCCTGATGGCGGCCCTGGTTCTTACTTTAAAGAACCCTTTCCATTGCCGAGGAGGAACTCTATTGTCTTCAAACCTCAGCAAATTACTTTTTATTTTTGGACGGCCCAATTAATGAACTGATTACCAGAGAGCTGTTTGTAGTAGTCCTGTATATATTTGTATAATATTATCATATCTCTTCTGAGTAGCTTTTTTTTTTCTTAAATAAGGCCTTACTTCACAACTAAAATCATCCACACGCCTAATTAATTTTATAATAAAAAAATGAGAAAGGTTAGTGCTAATAATAAAAGGATGAGGAGGCAGCAGCCTAATAGGGGGTCACCCTCTGACCCTCTATAGTGAGAATGTACAAGAAAACAGAGAAGAGGCTGCGCCAAAATGCTAAACAAATAAAATAAAAATGTAATAAAAAAAGAGTCCCAGTATAAAATAATAGGAAAAATAATAGTTCCAATATTAAAAGTTGTTCAAACTGGTATGGTGTCTTCTATGTTAGCAGTCGTCCGTCTCACGATATGAAATACACAATGGGAAAAGAACCAGTCGTGCAGATTGTATAAATATATGATGGTGAAATTAAAATATAAATTGTGCACTCACATTTCCATGAGCTAGGACTAGCTCTAGTATGATGGGCATACAGCGGATAACCCTCCGCTTACGGGGGTGCTTGTCCTCCTGGGGAGTGCTGATGTCCAGTTCTCAAAGGAAGACAAAAACAGCAAATAGTGCTCTCTGATGAGGTAGTTGATAAGAGGTTATAAAATAAATAAAATATACTCACAAATAGAGTGCAGTCCTTTCTGCACTTTGTATATCGCGTGGGTGGTATAATCCCCACCTTAGGATATACCAGGAACAGTAAATGAAGATAAAATAGTAAAAAAGTATAAATAATATAAAGAGATTTATTAATATAGAATATTAAAACCAATAACGCGTTTCGCCTTGGAGGCTTTATCAAATTGGGGTATTTTATAACCTCTTATCAACTACCCCAATTTGATAAAGCCTCCAAGGCGAAACGCGTTATTGGTTTTAATATTCTATATTAATAAATCTCTTTATATTATTTATACTTTTTTACTATTTTATCTTCATTTACTGTTCCTGGCATATCCTAAGGTGGGGATTATACCACCCACGCGATATACAAAGTGCAGAAAGGACTGCACTCTATTTGTGAGTATATTTTATTTATTTTATAACCTCTTATCAACTACCTCATCAGAGAGCACTATTTGCTGTTTTTCTCTTCCTTTGAGAACTGGACATCAGCACTCCCCAGGAGGACAAGCACCCCCGTAAGCGGAGGGTTATCCGCTGTATGCCCATCACACTAGAGCTAGTCCTAGCTCATGGAAATGTGAGTGCACAATTTATATTTTAATTTCACCATCATATATTTATACAATCTGCACGACTGGTTCTTTTCCCATTGTGTCTTTCATATCGTGAGACGGACGACTGCTAACATAGAAGACACCATACCAGTTTGAACAACTTTTAATATTGGAACTATTATTTTTCCTATTATTTTATACTGGGACTCTTTTTTATTACATTTTTATTTTATTTGTTTAGCATTTTGGCGCAGCCTCTTCTCTGTTTTCTAATTAATTTTATAGCCTATCTGTGCTATCTCCATAACACCCTTCTTTAAATCAGGTTCCCATATTGCACAGTGTATTCAACGTGTGGTTTTACGATTGATTTAAAAGGAGACAAGATTATATTTTTGTTTGGTAAATTAATACCCTGTTTTAAGTATGACATATAACTAAATTAAAACTCATTTGCTACTTTATTGCCCAGTTCCCTAATATGTCCAAAGTAATATTCTACTTTTCAGTATTACACTTATTTTGTGCCATCTGCAAACACTGACTTTCAATACCTATTGCAAGATCATTAATAAACAGGTTGAAGAAGTGGACACAGAACAGACCCTTGAGGGACTCCATTTACCACCTTTATCCAACATGCACATTTTCCATTCACAACTACTCTCTGCTCTCAGGTGAAACAAGAATATTGTTTCTACTCCTTCATACTGCTTAGCCCCATCATTGATTATATTGTTACAATGGCATCTATCAAGTGGTGGAATATATTAGGCAGTAAGTGAACAATTAATTCTTGAATTTCATGTGTTGGAAGCAGGAAAAAATGGTCAAGCAAAAAGATCTGAGTGACCTGACAAGGGCCAAATAGTGATTGCTAGATGGTTAGGTCCTAATAAAAGTGGCACCAGTGAACCAGCATCAGGGTTATGGTGCCACAGGTTCATTGTTGCCTGTAGGCAGCGAAGTTTAGCCCGTCTAGTCAGATCACACTGAAGAGCTACTGTAGTTCAAAATGCTGAAAAAAACCTAATGACGACCATGATAGAAAGGTGTCAGAAAACAAAGTAATTTGTAGTTTGCTGCATATAGGGCTGCATTGCCACAGACCGGTTAGAATGCCCATGATGACCCTTGTCCACCACCGAAAGAGCCTTCAATGGGGACGTGAGCCTCAGAACTAGATCATTGCCTGGTGTGATAAATCACTTTTTCTTTTAGATTAGGTTCATGGCCAGGTGCATTTGCATTGTTTACCTGGGGAAGATATTGCAGCAGAGTGCACTATGGAGGGAGGAAGACAGACCGGTGGAGGCAATGTTCTGCTCAAGGCAATGTTCCTCTGGCATTCATGTGGATGTTACTTTAACATATACCACCTGCCTAGAGATTGTTGCACCACTTTGTGGCAATGGTAGTCCCTGATGGCAGTGGCCTCTTTCAGCAGGATAATACACCCTGCCATACTGCAAAAATTGTTCAGGAATAGTTTGAGGAAAATGACAAAGAGTTCAAGGTGTTGCCTTGGCCTCCAAATTCCCCAGATCTCAAACCTATTGAGCATTTGTGGGATGTGCTGGAACAAAAAATCTGATATATGCATCAGAGCTGTTTTGGAAGCACAAGGGGGGCCTACATAATATTAGGCAGGTGGATTTAATGGAGGTGGCCAGTTCCAGGATAGAGTGGTGTTCATTTCTACTCTAACCTTATTTTTCATTCCCCACAAACCGATATTTCTTGAGTATATGGAATAAATATATATGGAATAAGTAAACCGAACATTAAAAATTCTGGGAAGTGACAGTTCCACTTTAACATAATGGGACAAAAGAAGTACGTTTACAATTCTAAAAGAGTAACATTCCACATACAATGCTGCAAAATGAGAGAATAAGTATAACAGCTCTTTTTTAAAACTTATTTTATTGAAAGTGAAATTGCTACAAATTAAGTCAAAGATCCCTTGGTGGTGTTTGAAGCTTATCTCTGTCAATTCTTTTTTTCTAGACACTGATTTAAACTAACAAATAACCCCCCACATTTACAACATTGCAGCAGCACAGAAAAATATTGATTTAAGAAAAAGAAAGGGAAAAAAAAGGTTTTAAAACAGCATTAATTCTTACCAACTCCAGCGCTTATTGATTCTGCATCTATTTCCTCTGCCTTTTTCTTTGCCACTTTAGCTAGTGCCAATTCACCCTTATCTAGTGCAAGGTAATGGATGTCCTTTGGAAATAAAGTAAAATAAAAGATTAATCTAAAATGAATCTTCGAGGTACAACAAAGACATTTTTCAAAGAAAGGGAATCTTTTATTGCCCAGATCACAGAACATAGACAGGACTGATGAACCCACTGTTACGTTTTAATTTTCTGAATTTTCATTCTTTCCCCATGCAAATGTATCATCTTACGTGTACCTTATCTCAAGCAAAGCAATCAAACACATTTCCTAAAGTAAAAAGCATCTATTTTACTTGCCAGCTGATTCTGCAATTTCATCCTAACTTATGCCTTTGAAAAATCAGCTACTGGAAACTTGAATTTTTGAAAAAGAAACATAACAGGATGATTCTAAATACATATATAATCCAAAAGGCCGTGTTTCAGACTTCTGTGACTCTGTATTTAAATGGCAGCATCGGAGAACAGACACTTGGGATTGTCAGGTATAAAGATAAGTAAGTAAGTCCTTTAAGATATGATGCACAGTGTTTACCCACCCATGTTTCTAAAATATAGAGTATAAATCAGTCCATTTTGTTTCCCAATAGTAAAATAGATTAACATCTTAAAAATATAGAAATAAAAAAGTGGAAACAAGCAGTGAAATATGTTTTTTCTCATTAAAATAATATAAACTAAAAACACAGATGGGTAATAGTCTGTGTACGGTGTATCGTTTGGTGGATGAGCACATTCTCTTGCCAAGATATCTCTGAGGTGGAAGTGCCAATGCCATTTAGAAAGCAATTGTCATTTCTTCACTTTTACCACAACCAAATAGCCCATAAAACATGATAGTGCAGTGGAGGTAATTATTGTTTTTTTACTTATGTTCAGTGGCTTATTCACACTTATTCAGTAAACTCTCCAATAGCATTTACTGGGGTGAAGGAACAAGGAACGATCACTGCTTTGGAGGACAGTTCCTCTCTATGCATACACACACTAAATATACACATACATTCCGTTTATTTTGTGTAACTGTGTAAGTTGCCTTCTAGAGTAAATGTCATAGATAGTGATGTCCCGAACGGTTCGCCGAACGGTTCGCCACGGACTCATCTTTGAGTAAACTTTGACCCTGTACCTCACAGTCAGCAGACACATTCCAGCCAATCAGCAGCAGACCCTCCCACCTCCTGGACAGCTCACTAAGTATGCAGCTTCACAATGAATGTAAAATGGATGCTGTCCAGGAGGTGGGAGGGTCTGGGAGGGAGGGTCTGCTGCTGATTGGCTGGAATGTGTCTGCTGACTGCGAGGTACAGGGTCAAAGTTTACTC